CCTGAATGAATAGGTATATCACTCATGGTACGATTTCTCTATAGATCATCTGTATTGCAACTGAGACAGCCTTACAACACGTAAGCGAAAGCTGCTACCTTGACGTGGTGGTCGGGCTTGAACACCGCAATGACCTAATCAAGCTATACTGGCTGAGACTTATGTCTCTTGAGGTTCTACCATGCCAGGCAGGTTGTTTGGATAGCGGTTAAACAAAAAGCAGCTACCCCATCCAATACCATGATTCAAACAAATTCACAAAATTTCATGCCGGATCGGCCGTGGCCCGGATTAACAACGACCGCGCTTCCTGCTGCCGTGTCACAGGGCAGGAGTGATAAGTATGCTACTGAGGCACACCAAACAAAAGAGAACAAACAAAAACAGGCCGCGTGTGACCGGCCTCAAGCAGTTGTCCCCTGGGCTCTGCGGTCACGCAACCAACTTCCACGGTGTGGGCAGCCGGGAAGTAACAATCGCCCTCACAATCCGAAATGCACACAAAACCTCTCTAATCCTCACTTATCTTTGTCTTCATCTTCATCTCTATTACCTTGCCTTCCTCCCACTGATGCAACTCCTCTACTTGATGGCTCCTCACTCCCTCTTCACTCTGTGTCCACTAAAAACGACGAAAGCCAAAAAACCACCACGGATAGTCTCCTAAAGCCACGCCACCAATTTCATATAGGAGCATTTAATGTTAGGACACTTTGCCAAATAGGACAACAAGCATCACTAGCTAAGACCCTGGCATCCCGAGCCATTGATGTATGTTGTGTTTCAGAAACACGCATACAAGACCCAAGTGTGGTTATTCACCTAACCCCACCTGGCCAACAGGATGAATCTTCAAAATTCACCTTGAGGGTGTCAGGAGATGCCACAGCTAGTTCACGAGGATTAGCTGGCGTAGGGATAGCTTTGAGTACTAGGGCAGAAAAGACATTGCTTGACTGGATCCCAGTAGATAGCCGAATGTGTGCTGTCCGTCTGAACGGATCAGTAAGAAGGAGAAAGGACTGCACTACTCGCCGATGCCTTTTCGTAATCTCCGCCTACGCCCCCACTGACTGCAGTTCGGATGAAACGAAGGATGAGTTCTACCAAAAGCTGTCTAGTTTGGTGAGAAAGGCTAAACGCTCAGATATAGTCGTTCTAGCTGGTGACTTTAACGCTCAAGTAGGGAAATTGTGTCAATCTGAGAAGGATGTCGGTGGCACCTATGGAGTTCCGTGCCAGCGAACCGACAACGGTGACCGTCTCCTACAGTTCTGTTCAGATAATCATTTGTTTCTTGTAAGCACTAACTTTAAACACAAGGAGAGACACTGTTTAACCTGGCGACCCCCATCATCAAACCAACGCTGGACACAAATAGACCACATAGCAATAAGCTATCGTTGGCGTGGGTCGGTAGGAGATTGTCGCTCCTTCTGGAACACGTGTGTAGATACCGATCACGCACTGGTCCGGGCTCGTGTGTGCTTACGACTGAACGGACGTAGGAAACAGCTGGCGGTAAAACCATCACGTCCCCAGCTCGATCAGGAAACTAAATCCCTATTTGAGGAAGAACTAGCTAAACGCATATCTGAATTCGACAGCTGTGCTCACCCTGGAGAAGCCTGGAAGAATATTCAGTCAGCTATAGATACAGCTGTAAAAGCTGTGAATAAGGCAAATCCAAAGGTGAGTAAAAACCACTGGATTTCGACTGCCTCATCCGAACTGATAGATGCTAGAAGACTTATTCCGGCGAGCTCCGAATTCAATGAGGAGCGAAAGCTGCACAAAAGGAAACTTACTAAAAGTCTCCGCAAGGACCGTGAACAGTGGTGGGTGACAAAGGCAAAGGAGATGGAAAAAGCATCGGCGATAGGCAACACTAGGCAACTCTTTAGACTCATCAGGGAAACGGGTGGGAGAAGGCAAATCATAAGTGAGACTATTTCTGAGAAAAATGGCTCCTTAATTAGCTCTCAGGATAGACGCCTTGAACGCTGGAAAGAACACTTTGAGGAACAATTTAACTTGCCTACAGCCACACTGAACCTCCCCGACATCCACCACACCCGAATGGGATATAGACACTGGTCCGCCGTCTGTAGTGAGGTCACAAAAGCTATCAGTAATTTGAAACGAGGCAAAGCGGCAGGACCCGACGGAATTATTCCGGAGGTGTTTAAATATGGGGGTGACATACTAGTTTGTAGATTAACTGAGGTACTAGGCAAAGTCTGGGAATCAGAGACAGTGCCATCAGACTGGGGTAAGTCACTTATTATACCGATATTCAAGAAGGGAAACAAGTCCTCGTGTGATAATCATAGGGGGATCAGCCTAACGAACATAGTCTCTAAAATCCTAGGCTCAGTAATCATGCATAGACTAAGCAGAACTCGGGAGGAACAGACAAGGGAAAATCAAGCAGGCTTTAGACCAGGTAGAGGGTGCATAGATCATATCTTCACTCTTCGACAGATTCTAGAACATAGACACACTTTTCGGCGTCCAACAATTGTCATATTTCTTGACTTGAAGGCGGCCTTCGACTCCGTGGATCGAAAGGTACTATGGCAATGTCTGACTGTGAAGGGAGTGCCAAGAAAGTACATTGCACTAATCAAGGCACTCTATTCAAACTCACGTAGTCGTGTAAGGGCTTATGGGGAATTGTCATCTGAATTGGTAACAACCAGTGGTGTCCGACAGGGATGTCCACTTTCCCCATTTCTGTTTAACTTCATCATAGATATGCTAATGGAAGTATCCTTAACTGAACGTAACGACTTAGGAATCGACTTGTTACCAGGGAATAGTCTTATGGACTTAGAATATGCAGATGACATAGTCCTGTTAGGGGAGGATGCTGACAAAATGCAGAGTCTTCTGAACACCTTGAGCAGCAATCTTCGTATGTTTGGCATGCGATTCGCCCCTGCAAAATGTAAGATGCTGCTACAGGACTGGACCACGTCAACTCCTAACTTAGTGATAGAACATGTTGACCACTTCACCTATTTGGGAAGTTGTATTAGCACCAACGGACTGATTGGCGATGAAATCTCAGCACGGATCCGAAAAGCTCGAGCTGCTTTCGCTGACTTACACCATCTCTGGCGTAGGCGTGACATCCGGTTATCAACCAAGGGACGTGTGTACTGCTCATCAGTTCGCTCCGTCCTTCTCTATGGCTCTGAAACATGGCCAATACGCGTTGAAGACATGAAAAGGTTGACTGCTTTCGATCATAGATGTCTGCGATCTCTGTCTCACGTTAGGTGGTTTAATAAGGTAAGTAATGTTGACGTTAGGCGTAGAGTGTTGGGCAAAGAGGGAAAATCAATCGACGAGGCTATAAAGTTACATAGACTAAGATGGCTAGGTCACGTGCTGCGCATGCCTAACCACCGCCTCCCCCGACGGGCATTGCTAGCTGATATAGTGTGCAGGTTGGAAAAGAGCCAGTGGTGGCCAAACAAAAACATGGCATCAATCCATGAAATCCTTGACAGTTAAACTGAGTCAGGTAGGGAGATGCAGACTCCCGGGTTGGGGCCCTCGGGACTCTAGGAATCAATGGCTGGAGACAATAGGTGACATGGCTCAAAATCGTTGTCAATGCCAGCGCAGATGTATTCAGTCTCTGTAATCTTTCATATTCCTTTCTACCATTACCCATTCTGTTTCACTCTTATACTTGTCAAACTCTATTGATTCTCTTCACTCATCTTCTTGTCTACCTCTGTGTGCTATTTGGAACGTGGCAACTCGAACTGCTGCACTTCGGTGCCAAGTTCTGTGTTGAATCCAGACAGACATATAGAGTAATGTTATGTTTGCAACGTTTTCAGTGCATTTTTCAACGTTTACACAAATTTTTTGTCTACGAACTCTGATTGGCTGTTAATGATTTTATTTTCTATTTATTTTTTGATTACAACTTGATTCCACACTGTGTTTTTGGTACAAGTATGGAATTTTCAGCATGGATATCGGTAACCCAAATATTGCAGGCTGACCATAGATATCAGGTGTGCATCGGCAGGGGATCGAACCTCGGACCATGTGCATGGTCGGCGAGAGTCCTAACCACTGTGCCACCGACGCACCCACTGAAATTTTGGCTTTGATAGTTTAACTTTGCCTAAATTTACTTTTTAAAAGAACACTACTATTTTAGGTCTGCTCTTGAAACACTTGTGATGAGGGTAGAACAATAATTTTTGTATTAGAGAACAGGGTAAGATTTGTTTACGATAGAAGTGTTGGTGTATATTTTTTCGCAAACTACATTTTTCATTTTTATAATAAGTCCACATTTTCACGACAAACGATGTGATTTTCATGCTATGTATTTTTGCTCGACAGAGTAGTACTTTGAAAGTTAAATGGTGTGGAAATAACAGTTAGTTCGTAAATAATTTTCCTTCAAGTTACCACATTCACTACTTAGTCTTCTCATAATATTTGTTTACATGAAATTTTTGGATATACTTTCGCATTTTCATCGTTTGTTTTCCATGGTCCAAGAAATTGTGGCAATACAAACCATGCAGTATTTCTCTTGTGTTGTCGACAAGTGAGATGGTACCCGAAAAGTGCACTGCTAGAGTTCGAAATTCCATATATGATCTTTTTGAAACACCTTTCACAATTATTGATATGAAAGGTGTTTATTCTCGTGACTTTTTACCATTTAAAGTTTTTATTAGCATTAGACTCCAACACATCTCCAAACACATTACTGTCTTCCTCATTAATAAACAAAAGATTTGATTGTGTAGTGAGGTCATTTGTGTTAATTAACCTAGTCAACTTCGTATTTTGTAAAATATCATCCTGAGCATTTAATAGAACAATTTGTGTCATTTACCATTTTAAATTTCAGTTCAGATTTTGTCTTCTGCTGGACTTTTCGATTTTACTACTGTTCCTGATTATTTGTGGCCCATTTCAAGTAGTTACCGTTTGCTGGTTCGAAAACGCACGATCTAATGTTGTTTCTTGCTTTATTTATTTTATGTCTAACGGCAAACTCAGGTAAGAATTCAGTATTTACTTGATTAGTAGGAAAATTCGCATTTCACAGATAAGTATGTAAAATTTTATCAAGAATATTGTATGCGCTTGTTTGTATGTTTGGAAAATAAATAATGGTACTCAGCACTTTAAGAACATGTGAATTGTGAACTTAACTATCCTTACGTTAAGCAAAAAGTAGTCCAATTTTTTCTGTATTTTCCTCATCTGAAGGTGTGCTCATGTAGTAAGACAGTGTTGAGTTCTTGTACTAATAGTGTTAAAGGAAGATTCGATTCTTGTTTTCACTATTAGGTTGTTCGGTCGTGGTCTTGGAATCAATGCGATTAAGTAGCTCAGAATCATTCATTATGGCTCAGGTGTACTCTGTTATATTGTCAGCAGAGAAGCAACGTCTTCTGATTGCTTGTTTTCTTGCTGAAGGTTATTCTGTCATCTCTTTGTAGCCGTTTCCTAGAAAGGCAGACCATATATTTGCGAATCATATTTGCACACGTTAAGTCTGCTGTGATTGGTTGGTGAGTTCCTTAAGGCTAAGCTCTGTTATTGTTTCTTCCTCATGACCCTGATTAGGGACGTTAACATTGACGTAAATTGCTGTCTACAATTTTGGCTAGCAGACAGCTCTCACTACAACACCTCTGTCGCATAATTGCGATAAAAAGTTAGTGTCTTTTAACTGGATGGGTTAATTCTATGATCCATGGTGTAATGCGTAAATGACGCCCAACTTTTCTCTTAGTTTATATGTATCCTTCACAGAAGTGAAAGGGCAAGTGTGAACGTCTAGCTCTTACAACCGGATTGGTGGTGGACATGCAGTTCTACGTAGGGGAACTGGAAAACCCTGGTTTCAAACCCATCGTGAACATTGGCTCCAGAATCCGAAAGGATCGGATGGCGTATAGATCTGCTTTAGATACTGGAAACAATCGGAACTTAGCTCCTGACACTACTGTGCTGCCTTGTTGACCAAACTTCAAACCAGAAACTCGAGGTGTGGTCCCTTATGACAACCACCTGCTTCGATCTGGGCGTCCGGGTAATATCCCAGTGCTGGCAAAAAATATGCGATAACAATTTGTGTGGTATGTCTCTTGGCAGCCCTAATGTACCAAGTTTGTGTTTTATTAATAATAACATACTTTTTTGCCTTTATTTGATGTAGATTCCACAAAATTTACTTTATCTGTGATTCCGGCCAATCAACCAGTACTTATTGGTCAAAAAGTGATTCTGATATGTCAGGTGCAAGGAATACCATTTCCTATGCAATATGCAGTTTTGTTTAAGCGTAAGGATAAGCTGATCTCAGAGAAATGTCATGTCTATGAAGAACAAAAATATCATCTTGTCTGTGAACCGAATGATTGGCAAAGAGCACATACTTATGAATTGCATATTAAGTCTGTTTCTTGGGCAGATCGAGGTGATTGGTTGTGTATTTATGCAGCAAATATGACTAGACAATCTCTTGAAGTATATGGTAAGCATAAATTTCACAGTCATCTTTATCATTTTGTCACTTTTGATATGGGTCTTAAGGTACTTCGTGATGTCACACACTCAATAGTGCTTCTGTTTCATATATATATTCATAAGTAAAAACACAGTTTTTGTTCAGCGAAGAAATTTCTTTTCAACGACTTCATTTTCAAGCTGTACAGTCGTATTTATATTACAGAAAAAGGTTATTAAGTGGCACTAAATAATTGCTCAGTCAATGTACGGATATATGTGATAAAAGTAATATGGGGTAGAGTTGAAGTGAATAAATTACAAAAATGTTAAAGATTGTTTTATAACAAAAATGTCAAGTGTTGTCTAAAAATTTTGAAAATTAGGAGTACGATTACGATAAGAATGAAGATGTGACAACACTTGACATTTTTTTATAAAGCAATCTTTAACATTTTTGTAATTTATCCACTTCAACTCTACCCCTTATTACTTTTATCACATATATCCGTACATTGACTGAGCAATTATTTAGTGCCACTTAATAACCTTTTTCTGTAATATAAATACGACTGTACAGCTTGAAAATGAAGTCGTTGAAAAGAAATTTCTTCGCTGAACAAAAACTGTGTTTTTACTTATGAATAAATGAGTATTTTTCGAGATCATATATATATAACGTTGAACAACTTAGTAAGATGACATATTATTACTACACTCTTGACTTACCAACGAAAGTAGGTGCTTTAATCCCTTAGACTAGTGCGGGAAATCACAAAACATTCCGTGATGCTCATACTGGCCGTAGTTTGGTTCCCTAAGAAAATATCAGTTTTAGTTCTCATATCCTTTAATTCATCAATATTTTTGCTAACAAATTTCATACCACTAACTTCAGTTACAAATTCCTGGAAAGCAAAAGCAATGAACGTGACAAAATAGTCAGACTTCATGCTTTCTTCTCTCGATTTTCATTATCACTATAATGTCCTAAACAGCTCAAACATCACGGTGCCTTAAAAATATGCCACACTATTCTTATTCAACTTCAAAATATGTTCATTAATTCAAGCCTAGAATGATAAATTAAACTATGGGAATTTTTCTCGTAAGCTCACACATTCATTGAAAGTAAGTTTTAAAAATAATTTTAATCACACCTTTTCTAGAATATGATAAAGCTATAAGAAGACGTAAATTGCCAGAATCGTGTGATACATTTCCGTAACACATTTCGAACAATCTGATCACACATAGACTTGTCATAGGAGTATACACATATTAAAATAATAGAGTTAATGGGTCAAGTTAAGAGAACATATTGAAAGTCAAAATAACAATGAACATCACTAGACCAGATAAGGGAGGTAATAGCATATCTACCCTGGTATCAAAAAAAGTTTACCAAAGAAGGTTTAGTGTGATGACGAGTTGTTTTTGAACGCATAAGTGGGATTTAAGCTTCGTAATAACTAGGGCTTTCACATACTTTGGGATACGCCCCAAACACGTTTTATAGATAGGTTCAAAAGATGTGTAAATATCCAACAACAAAAGAGCTTTAGTAGGATGCCTCTTCAGTAGAATCCAACGAATATTAACCGAAGACACACTTGATGAAGAGGAAAGAAAGTTGATATAGAGTGGCCAGAACACCAAGACCCACTCTTCAACCCGCCACTAAGAAGGACATTCACCAAGCTACCCTATATGGGTAATCATAGCAGCTTGGTAACTTGACAGCAGTTGAGCACTGTGGCTAAAAAGATTCTTTATGCAGCTAATATCATAATAATTGAGAATGTGAAGCTGATATATCCATCTAAACCCTAAGAACATGCGAAAAATGATCTCATATCCCACTGTATTTGACAACTTAAATGTACGTGTGGTCACGCCTACATAGGGAGGACTCATCGATCTCTGCAAATAAGAGCTGGCTTCAGTAGCAAATTGAATCCCTAGAACCCATTAATAGTGAGAACAGACGACCTAGCTCCTCTATTGCAAAACACATTATAGAGACAAGACATGAAATTGATGTTTACACGTCTTTTGAACCTATCTATAAAACGTGTTTGGGGCGTATCCCAAAGTATGTGAAAGCCCTAGTTATTACGAAGCTTAAATCCCACTTATGCGTTCAAAAACAACTCGTCATCACACTAAACCTTCTTTGGTAAACTTTTTTTGATACCAGGGTAGATATGCTGTTACCTCCCTTATCTGGTCTAGTGATGTTCATTGTTATTTTGACTTTCAATATGTTCTTTTAACTTGACCTATTAACTCTATTATTTTAATATGTGTATACTCCTATGACAAGTCTATGTGTGATCAGATTGTTCGAAATGTGTTACGGAAATGTATCACACGATTCTGGCAATTTACGTCTTCTTATTGCTTTGTCTAAATTCATAAAGGGAATTATTTGTTTTAAAAGGAATATGATAAATTAGAGAAATGGAAGATATTTATTTGTTTCAGTTGAATCGACGGCATACCTTAATGCTTATTTTACTTTCAAGTCAGTATGTGACTGTATAAATTGTACTATTGAATTATTGTACTTATTCCTGTTTGAGCTGTTGGCCAGTGACTCAGTGTTCTAGTCGCTTAATTTATAACCACTGGGTCACGGTTTCGATACCCACTGTACCTGTTGTTGAGACGGCCAGGTAGTATCAGCAGCTCATCATTGCCAACCTTATGGTAAATGCAAATGATCGTTTCGTAATATTTCCATTTTCCCACTTAATCTATTAATCTTTTTACTTTTTAAGGTGAAACGTTCCTTCTTCGCTATTTGTTTTTAAAACATGCTGTGATGTTAGTGATGATCTACTAGAGTATCTTAGTTAATAAGAATGGATAGATTTTTAGTACATGATGAATAAATTTATGCAGTGGTATTTTCCTTCACCTGTCTATATCTAAATTGAAGTCATTGACCTCAGTTAAAAGCTATGTTGTTTATATTTATCATAATTGTAAAAGATTTTATTTGACTTAATGTCTAGAAAGCGGTGTTATATGACATGTCCATTTTTATAAGCACTTTTTAATGAAATTATATTTGAAATGGTACAGAAAATTTGTAACTCAGGTGAAGTTTCTTTTGTATGTTGTCCATATCAAAGTAAATATCCATGCTAAGGTTACTGTAAATGTGTCTGACCTCGGTAATCAGATGACAACAAATTGAATTTATTATCGCAACATGTAATTTAGCGATTTAGCTCACCTTTATTCTGAGGGCGTAAACACAAAGGGAAACAATAAACGGATTGATAGGTTAATGGTTAAATGTATGTAAGACTGACATTTGTCACATTTGTACTATAATAATAAAATATTCTTGAATACAACTGACTGACTAGAGTCGATGAGCTTTTAATGATTTTCACACCCTTGGATTAGAAAATCGGATAAATTCGTGAATTATGTAATATTTGGAGAAAATGAAGACAAGGCTAACAACTCCGAAGGCCTAATAATGGAGAGAAAAGAACAAAAAGTCCAGCAAAGATATCTTTTCGGTGATTTCATTCTCGAAAGATGTTCAATCGCACTTATATACGTAATTCTACATAGATACAATTATTATTTATTTAATTCCACGTAGTTAGGATGGGGATTAAAGTTGATAATAATAATCTTCAACTTGATATGAAAGTTTGAAGGTGTGAATTACAAATAAGTTGGAGATAGAATTATACAGGACTAGAAAATAGTTTCTGACGAATAAAAGTGTGAATGGGTTGGGCATGGAAACAAATTGGAACAATGATATTTTACAACTGAAAATGAAAAAATGAAGGGGATGAACAAACGACATCTAAAGAAACAGACCAAACTATATCCATGGTAAATGTAGAGTTTGGACTAGCTTCTTTTGATGAACACGCAGCTCGGATTTTTCGATGCATATGATGAGGGCTTCGGCAGTAAAAAGAAGTCGGAAACACACTGCTTTTAGTAGATTTTTCCTTACTTTGTAAATGACTCTGAATGATGAGTCAGTTGAGACTCTGTCTGTCTGTTTTCGACATAGAACTTTGCACAAATGTGCGGAAGTTCAAGGCGCCACACTCCATGTAGCACACAGAGCAAGAGAAGAAAGTACAAGAAATGCATAACAGAGACAGTAAACAGAGGTGTGAGACAAAGGAATAGTAGTAGCGAAGAACAAAACAGTTTCATTGGAAATCATAAGTCACAAGGAGTGGATGCATCTGCGCCATTGAGAACGATTTTGAACCATGTCATCAAATGTTTTCAACCATTGGTTTTTACCGTTCCGAGGACCCCAACCAGGAAGTCTACACCTTCCTACATGGCTTAAACTAACTGTAGTGGATTTCATTGACTGATGAGGCCATGTTTTGGTTTGACCACCAGTGACTCTTTTTCAGCCTGACCCAATATCAGCTAACATTGCCCGTCGAGGAAGGCGATGACTAGGCATACGTAGCACATGTCCTAACAATTTCAGTCGATGTAATTTCACAGCCTCGTCGATTGATTTCCCCTCCCACCTACCTAGCTCTCGACGCCTAACCTCAATATTGCTCACCTTATTATACCACTTCGCACGGGAGATAGAACACAGGCACCTATGATCAAAGACAGCTAATCTTTTCATGTCTTCCACTCTCAGTGGCCAGGTCTCACAGCCATAAAGGAGGACGGAGCGGACTGATGAGCAGTACACTTGCCCTTTGTTCGATAGTCGGATATCTCGTCTACGCCAGGAACCAATGGCTCGAGACAATAGGTGACATGGCTCAAAATCGTTGTCAATGGCCAGCGCAGATGTATTCAGTCTCTGTAATCTTTCACATTCCTTTCTACCATGACCCATTCTGTTTCACTCTTATACTTGTCAAACTTTATTGATTCTCTTCACTCATCTTCTTGTCTACCTCTGTGTGCTATTTGGAACGTGGCAACTCGAACTGCTGCACTTCGGTGCCAAGTTCTGTGTTGAATCCAGACAGACGCCAGAGACGGCGTAAACTGGCAAATGCGAAACGAGCCCCCTGTATCCGTGCTGAGATTTCGTCAGAGATCAACCCGTTGGGGCTGATGGTATTTCCCAAATAAGTGAAGCGGTCAACGTGCTCTACTACTTCTAGATTAGAAATAGGAAGTGGAGTCGGTATAGTCCAGTCCTGTAACATCATCTTACTTTTGGCAGGAGCGAATCACATGCCAAACATTCGTAGACTGCAGCTCAAGATGTTCAGAAGATCCTCCATTTTGTTAGCGTCTTTACCTAGAAGGATTGTATCGTTCATTAGTACGTCTATGATGAAGTTCAAAAGAAATGGAGATCATGGGCATCCGTGACGGACACCACTAGTTGTCACCACTTCAGATGACAACTCGCCGTAAGCCCTCACCTGGCTGCATGAGTTCGAGTAGAGTGCCTTAATCAGTGCAATGTATTTTCTCGGCATTCCCTTTACTGCCAAGCATCTCCAGAGAACCTCTCGGTCGACAGAATCGAATGCCGCTTTTAGGTCTAGAAATATAACGATTGTTGGATGCCGGTAGGAATGCCTATGTTCTAGAATTTATCGGAGGGTGAAGATATGATCAATACACCCTCTTCCTTGTGTAAAGCCTTCCTGGCTCTCTCGTGTTTGTGCCTCCTTGCTCATAATCATATCAATTTAGTCATGTTAAAATATTTATCTCATTTATAAAACAGAATTATGCCATTGTTATAACTGTAGGGAATTGAATGAAGACGTTTTCACCTTATTCTGTCTGCGCCTGAACTAATCTGTCTATCTGCTCGTCGTACCTTCCGACTTAGTCAAGCACGCAAATATCAAAAGACAAAGGCTGGACTGTGTATTGAAGTGCAACAACGATAAAGAAAGCCATGGTATTTATACATTTTACAACAATATGGACAGCTAACAGCATTTGAAATAATTGACCTTAATAGCCAATAACAAAGTGTGTGAGAAATGATAATATGCCATATGTGCGACATTGACAGTCAGTAACAAAATGTGTGGGAATGGTAATATACCATATATACAAAATTAGCAGTCAATACCAAAATGTGTGAGAATGATAACATACCATAATGCAAGTTTAAACAGTCAATACCAAAATATGTGGGATCCTATCACCTCCCCCCGTAAAGAGTGTAGGACTTGCTTTTTGGATCTATTTGAAAAGGTTTCGGAGCTCTTCTTTGTCGAGTTGACCTTTGCGTGGTACTGGATAGAGCGTGATCTGTGTGTCTGCCACATAACTGTCCTTTTTCATTCGTACGATAATGCAGCAAGAATTTATCCAAAATTTTTTCTGTTGTTCCCTCCCCCTTCGCTTTTGCATAAGCACGCTTAAAGGTGTCGACGAAACGTTCAGTAATAGTTGACGTAGGAGGGACACTGTTGCAATTGATGTGGCAGAATGCATAGGAAATATCTCTGGCCATTTGGAAAACGCGTCGACACATATTAAGAAATGCATACTATTGAACGGTCCAGCGAAGTCAACATGAACACGGGACCATGGTTTGTCCGGTCGTGGCCAGGAACATAGTTCTGTCTTGCGTGGACACTTTGATGCTTGAGCACATTTACTACACTTGCGAACGAGGTCTTCGATATGGTCATCGATGTTGGGCCAGTAAACATAACTGCGAGCGATCGCCTTCATTCTCCCAACACCAGGATGTGATATATGAAGCTGCCGAAGCACATGGTCACGAAGATTAGCTGGAACGACAACACGATCAGCAAACATTATGCATCCATTAACGATGGATAGGGATTTGCGTCGCTGGTAAAACTGTTTTAAAACATTTGAATGAACATGTGGAGGCCAGCCAAATCGGATGAACTTTGATACTTGCTGTAAAACTGGATCACGCAGTGTGTGTCTGGCAACCTCAACTGCAGTCACCGGAAGATCGTCCAGAGAGATAGACATTATAATTGGGTTGTAATTTACACAGTCAAAAATGTTATATAGTTGCGCTGAACAGAATAAAAACTGTCGTCGTTGCGTGCTATAACTGCAATGAATTAAGGTAAACCCCGTCGCCAATTTGTTATATCTTGCTCTGTCTGCGCCTGAACTTATATGTTATATAGTTGCGCTGAACAGAATAAAAACTGTCGTCGTTGCGTGCTATAACTGCGATGAATTAAAGTAAATCCCCGTCGCCAATTGTTATAACTGCACTGAATTAAGGTAAACCCCGTCGCCAATTTGTTATAACTGTAGGGAATTGAATGAATACGTTTTCACCTTATTCTGTCTGCGCCTGAACTAATCTGTCTATCTGCTCGTCGTACCTTCCGACTTAGTAAAGCACGCAAATATCAAAAGACAAAGGCTGGACTGTGACTGTGTATTGAAGTGCAACAACGATAAAGAAAGCCATGGTATTTATACATTTTACAACAATATGGACAGCTAACAGCATTTGAAATAATTGACCTTAATAGCCAATAACAAAGTGTGTGAGAAATGATAATATGCCATATGTGCGACATTGACAGTCAGTAACAAAATGTGTGGGAATGGTAATATACCATATATACAAAATTAGCAGTCAATACCAAAATGTGTGAGAATGATAACATACCATAAATGCAAGTTTAAACAGTCAATACCAAAATATGTGGGATCCTATCAGCCATAAAATTTTGTGCATTAATAAGTTGAAAATTTCAATCCTAATACTCGACAGAAAAGATAAACTGAGTAGAGGAATATTTATGTCTGTCTGTCGTCTTGTCTACTTACTTGCATCAACTAACTGTGGTGGGTTAATTAATAATAAACCCAAGTTACTCATCCAATTGGTCGGTGGTAATCAAGAAATTATTATGAATGGGATTGCAAGAGACCAAGCAGACTACACATGTGCTTCTGAGACCACATATCCCACTGGAGAAGCAAGAAATGAGTAATAATAGGTATACAAGAGGTCGCATGTGTTTCCTCTGGATATGGATGGATTGTTAAAGATGATGTTTGTGTTCAATAAACGGATAGGACATCGTGACTTATATCTAATGGTAAAACATAAAATTATCCACGTCAGTATGCCTATGATTTATTAATGCCCTTAAAGTAATTGATTTTGTTACAATATGGTTAGCACTTTACCGTATTTCGTCTAAATAGAAGTGTAAAGGAAATAGGCAGCCTTGTGTGTTTATTGGTCGATGTATAAATTGTGGTTTATCATTCCATCCTGATTATCGCTCATTGGTAGTAACGTTTTAGTAGTAGTTATTCACAGTAGGTAAATTTCTGGTGTCTACACACATATACAAAGTCGTTATGATCTACTGTTCTTCAGTATTGTTATTTTGGGTGTCAGCTCATTGCTAAGTCTCCTAGTTGAACTAACAATAACTCTATGTACTATTTTGGGTAAAGTAATTATCCTACGCATTAGTTACTTTTATCTCCTCATAAAACCGCGTCTGATTTACCGGTCGGTCCTGAACCTGGGAAAGGGAGAAGGTTGGGCGTGGTGTTAGTGTCCCCACCCGTAAACAAAACCATTTTGAACGCAAGGAATGAAGAAATCTCATAGGCCAAATTAGTTGGTAAAACAAAACAAAAATATAAAATAAGCTCCCCTCCCAAAGCTAGTATACTATATATAACCCCGTCTACAAAGCTAATCTGAAAGATAAACTCATGTATGCCAACAACTAGAAGTTATACTACCTATCGTTAAAAGTATGATAATACTGACAATTACTGTTCACCTAAGGTAAGTATGCGCACACCAGTGACATCAGTTTGTGTCCTCGGGACGGTAAAAACCAATGGTTGGAAACATTTGATGACATGGTTCAAAATCGTTCTCAATGGCGCAGATGCATCCACTCCTTGTGACTTATGATTTCCAATGAAACTGTTTTGTTCTTCGCTACTACTATTCCTTTGTCTCACACCTCTGTTTACTGTCTCTGTTATGCATTTCTTGTACTTTCTTCTCTTGCTCTGTGTGCTACATGGAGTGTGGCGCCTTGAACTTCCGCACATTTGTGCAAAGTTCTATGTCGAAAACAGACAGACAGACAGACAGTATTCAAAAATTAAAGTGAATGTGTCATAAGTTTTATCCTGCAATACTTTTCAAAAGTTTGAGACAATCAACTAAGTTAGATAGTGTTAACCAGAACAAATCGGTCGGAAGATAACCTAAATGTCTGCCTACCTCGTCAACCCAAACTTATCAGGTCGAGGTTATTGACGATATATCCTTTGAATGATGGCATATATAGAGAGCAAGGTATAGTCAGTTTAAAAGAGAACATACCATAGGCGGGAGACATTGTGATTTAACAACTGCATTGGTGTCACCTTCATCGAAATAATTTAAGAAGTGGGAGGTATATGTAAGTGAACAGAAGAGCGAAGGCAGGAATTTTAGCAATTTTATTCTCAGTGGTTGTACTTTAGTAGTTTATAAACATTTTTTTTCGTTCCATATGTTAGTGTAGTTATAATTACCGTTTAATTTGCATAATGAAAAGGTGAGATTTTGAAGGATATGAATAATTTTTGCAACCTAAATAAAAAGACTTACAAATATGACTAGAGCATGCATATTATTCACAAGGGGCGTAGAAACCAAAATAATAGAGGATTACAAATATAGTTGCGAAATATGCAGAATAGTCCATACAGAAAAATGATGTTATCAAGACATTTTCAAGAGTTTGGTTTGTAAGAATCAGATTAGTTTTTTTACGGGTTTGACCACGGATTGATATCAGCTAGAGAACCATTGAAAACCAGGGAGTACCAGACAGCAGTTTCATCCAAGTTTGGGGATCGTCGGCAGTACGCACCCACTGGGGTTCGAACCCAGGACCTTCCGGTTACAGGACAAGCTCGTATCCCACTCAACCACTGGGCCCTTAAATTCTAACATGGTTATTTTTATTATGGGGCACCATAAAGTGAAGAAAAATTTTGAAAGATTGATTACTTGGATATTTTGCATTATGAGTAATCAGAACTTCATGTGGAAATCTCCAGTTGACAGAATTCAAAATATAATAGTCCCAAACCGATTTGCACATAGCGACTACATGAGTAATAGCTCTATTTGACAATAAGTGGATATCATCACAAGCAATGCTCAAAAGTATTGTCGTCATGTCAGCATACAAACTGTATATTTTTCTAAGAATGAAGATCAGAAACGAAGTCTAATTAAAATCGGTAATCGGTCAATCACTGTAATGGACAGCTATTTCGTCCTAGTTTGGGACTCTTCAGCAGTACGCACCCACCGGGATTCGAACCCAGCACCTTCCGGTTACAAGGCGAGCTTGTATACCATTAAGCCACTGGGACCCAATGAGATGCTCACTGGCGACTGGCCCTATTCAGGTAGGTAGTTACCTGGGTTCCAGTGGGAAGTCGTGACCAGTAGGGTGCAGCTGGTCGGGTGTGAGGACAAATACTCGCCGAAGACATTGGCTAACGGTCGCGCTATGTCGTGAATTGGCAGAAGTTAGAATTCAAGGACATTTGGATCGGGTCCCAGTGGCTAAATGGTATACAAGCTCGCCTTGTAACCGGAAGGTGCTGGGTTCGAATCCCGGTGGGTGCGTACTGCTGAAGAGTCGTAAACTAGGACGAAACAGCTGTCCAGTACTCCCAGGTTTTCCAATGGTTCTCTAACTAATGTCAGCTCATGATGAAATCCTGAAACCAATCAAATCCCTACAAACCAACACTTGAAATCACTGTAATATTAAACAGAGAACTATTAAAGGCAAAAGAGTAGTGTATTCATTATAAATAAGATTTTATTTTGATAAATCACAGTGTCATATAGTAATGTTAACTGATAACGTTTCGAGCACAAACTTGTGATTATAATCAGATCAAGCCACTCACACAACGTCATCAGTTAATATTTTTGCATAACACTGTGATTTATCGAAATAAAATCTTATCTATAATGGAGTTATACTCTACCACAGTGCCCAAGTTTTTTACTTATATCAATAAGAGTAGTGTATTGTTGTATGCCTGTGTACCGAACTGCGAATCAAATTTACCATTCTCACCTCAGTTTTACATTCTGTTATCTGGTTGTACACGATGTTGAAGTAGATGTTGTGAGTTTCCAACTGTGCTCTAGTAGTTGGTAGTCAGAATTCTCAAACAAATGAGCCATAATCAATGGTGGTTTCACTGAGTCATGATGTCGTTTAACGTTTCAACAAGATGCAAATGTCGTTGCTCAATACGAGCATATTTTCATTCATGACTTCCGGATTCAGTCTGTTTATTAGACAGATAACCACTCCATAGATAGAATACGTCCTACAATTCACTACTGATCACTAATAATTCTAGAGTGATGATGTTCCTCGCTGGCTTAAGTATTCGACTTTCAGCCGATGGGTTTTGAGTTCGGATTTCTCTTTACCTGCTTCAGCGTGGGAAACCGGGTAGTTTCATCAGCTCCAGTGTGTTGCTCAAATAACCTGGCACGCGAGAAATCTTTTTGAAGTGACTGAGTTCCAACTGACTATGAGTAGGAAATATAGTTTTCCCTCTGTTCACATCTGTTTAGCACTCACTAGCCTAGATTTTCTCATTATTTTTTCCTGTATTTTTCATTTTCCAAAAACATATTTATTGCATTCTTATTGAGTCTCAATGGTCATAATTCTTTGTACACCCCGAAAACAACGAGGTTTGTGGTTAGTTAACTTTGATTTTAGACACACCAAGATATCTTCCTTCATTCATTGCAGTGTGACAGTGTTCCGCACTTAGTATAAGATGCAAGATTTGGGTTTTATATACTAGTGTCAAGTAAGAGCCTCTGTATGGTTCAAAGAATTGGCGAGTCATGAAAAGCATTCCTAACGGACTGGAGGCTTTCATCATCGGCCCCCTTCGCTGTATGCTGAAGACTAGGCGTCCCGAAAGGAATAGCAACAAGAAACTCTGGGAACCAACCAACCAACCAAGAATCTCTAGCCTAATGAATATATATATCGACAAAAATAGAGATGGATTGAAGGATATTAGGCACCAGGCTCTCGAATGGAACCCGAATGGAAAACGACAACTTGGGTGTAGGTCGGTGGTTCACATAGAAGAGATTGTGTGAAGACGAGATGAAAGCTTATGAGCAGTCATGGAGCTAGCTAAAGACGATGAAGGGGATATCTTTGTTGAAGTTCTATGTTCCACACGAAATCCAGGGAAGTAATAATATAATACTACCATTTAATTTCCGATAATCATGTATTCTACACTAAAATTCCTAACCAAGCAATATGCGTAGAACAAGGATTCACTTCGCTTTTACGTATTATTATTATTATTATTATTTTTTGTCTCCATTGGAAACATTGATTTCTTAATTATGTCGTCTGAAGTGATATGGATAGATAAATAGGATATGTATTTCAAACTACCCTTCTTTAGTAGCTGGTATTTTCCACCCAGGTAATGAATAACAATGAATAACCAGCCTATGAAAAGTAATTATTATCTTTTTTTCAATTGTTAAGAACAGTTTTGCAATCTTAAATGAAGGCTGATAAATGTCATCTTGTTTTTAAACTATTATAATTTTTCTTTTCTCTTGTTTTGCAGCACCGGCGAAACTAGAAAAGATGGGAGTGTCAAGTTTAGCCTTACCTATGGCTAGTGGTAAAGAAAGTATTGTAAAAGAATTTGGTTTACCTCCTGGAATATCATCTCCATCAGCTGGATCACACTCTGCTTCTTCGTCCTCTTCTCCGTCTTCTTCATCATTATCTTTGGCTATAGCGGGATGGACTCAACTTTGTCAGTTGTTGGTACACCGCCAAGCCAGTATATCGGTTTAGGGACTCGTACAAATCCGTATGATTTGCGTCCAGGTTTAGGAATACAACTTACCTGTGAAACAACCTGTGGACATCCTCGTGCCAATATAACCTGGCTAGTTACAAATGAGGTAATATTAGAACTTGAGATATAAATATTCAATTGATGCTTTACTTTAAATCTGACAGGTTGACGTTAGTCTGTGGTAGAAACTCTCATCTTAAATGCATCTCACCAAATTAATCACTTGCCTTGATTTGGTTTATCCAAAGTACTAATGAGTTATAACCTATTTAGTTGATTAAATTTGATGTTCATACAGTTGCATGCTGTGTCACGAATTGGCTGATGTTTTGGGAAGTACATCAATGAATTTCAAACTGATGTTTTTAATGAAACTTCGCCGTTCTTGCGATGGTACATTATGCCTGTTGGTAAAAAAAATTTAAACTAGAAGATGTACGCTGTCATCTGCTTCCTGGTTTTCAGTAGCTGGTTTGGCTTTAATGATTAAAGTTTAAGATTATTGGGAGTTGAACCAACGATTTTCCGGCTTTATATTTATAATCCAACATCTTGTAACACCAGATCGGAAGAGAATCGTTGTCACTCTAATCCTTTTTCCTAAGGAAGTGCTATGACTAAGAGATTTGTAAACATTTTGCTTGTTTTCCTGTACCATTCATCCTATACCATTAGTAAGAAAGGAACTCTGTTTTCAATACTTCCACTGTGTGGGCAGCTGGGAAGTAATAGCCACCCATACAATTCAACTGCATCGATTTACATGATTAGAGCATGTGAGACGCATGCCAAACCATCGCCTTTCTCGTTGAGCAATGTTAACTGACGTAGGATTGTGCTAGAAAAGAGTTAGGGTTGGTTAAATCAAAATATGCATGACATCATTTCAAGAAGACTGACTGTTTGTTTGACCCAAGAAGTTATCTTCAAGACGTTAAGAGTCAAGGGTTAGTGACTGTTGGGGTTATTAGTTAAAAAATAATAATAATCACCGACTCTTAGATTAGAAATAGGGAGTGAAGTGGTAGAGCACGTTGACCGCTTCACTTATTTGGGAAATACCATCAGCCCCAACGGGTTGATCTCTGACGAAATCTCAGCACGGATACAGGGGGCTCGTTTCGCATTTGCCAGTTTACGCCGTCTCTGGCGTAGACGAGATATCCGACTATCGAACAAAGGGCGGGTGTACTGCTCATCAGTCCGCTCCGTCCTCCTTTATGGCTGTGAGACCTGGCCACTGAGAGTGGAAGACATGAAAAGATTAGCTGTCTTTGATCATAGGTGCCTGTGTTTTATCTCCCGTGTGAAGTGGTATAATAAGGTGAGCAATATTGAGGTTAGGCGTCGAGTGCTAGGTAGGTAGGAGGGGAAATCAATCGACGAGGTTGTGAAGTTACATAGACTGAGATGGTTAGGACATTTGTTACGTGTGCCTAGCCATCACCTTCTTCGACGGGTAATGTTAGCGGATATAGGGTTAGGCTGGAAAAAAGCTAACGGCGGTCAAACCAAAACATGGCCTCATCAGTCAATGAAATCCACTACAGTTAGTTTAAGCCACGTAGGAAGATGTAAACTTTCTGGTTGGGGTCCTCGGAACGGTAAAAATCAATGGTTGGAAACATTTGATGACATGGTTCAAAATCGTTCTCAATGGCGCAGATGCATCCACTCCTTGTGACTTATGATTTCCAATGAAACTGTTTTGTTCTTCGCTACTACTATTCCTTTGTCTCACACCTCTGTTTACTGTCTCTGTTATGCATTTCTTGTACTTTCTTCTCTTGCTCTGTGTTCTACATGGAGTGTGGCGACTTGAACTTCCGCACATTTGTGCAAAGTTCTATGTCGAAAATAGACAGACAGAATCACCTTGTTCCAAACAATAATATTTATACAGAATGGAATTTTCAGTGTTTTTATGCATCTTGTAGCAATTTTATAAATACGTACACAGATAAAATCTAAAGTAATAATAAAAAGACAAAATAACAATGTTGGTGGGATCATAATGAATTTTAAATAGGTAGTATAATGGATAATACATATAATAATATTAATCTTTGTGTATACTTTGCACTTCAGATTACTGATTTAAAGTTCTTTTGTGTCATCTGACTCTCACTTCACACAAAACCCGTGCAAAGTATGGTATCGTAGAATTTTTATATTTCGTTGTACGAGCGTAAATTCCTATGAAATCTCCTCTGGTTTTACTGGAAGTTACACAAGGGAAAAAGTTGCGAATAAAAGGAACGTTCAGTATCAGACCAGATTACTTTCGCCAACTGCTCGCAAAAATTAAAGTTCTTACTGACAATAATGTCAGTTAGCTTTCAGTGTTCTACGTAATATGATATAGACTTCTTTGAGAAGTTCAGGGAAGAATAATGGCGGACAATAAAGGACAATGGACAGAATATATGAAGTAACAAATTGTAAGAGAAGAGGTTGAGTTATGGCAGAAAGTCCCAACTTCTTTAAGTAGTGAGTCAAACGTAAAATTTTCCTGTTCGGATCTGAAAATAAAAACAACCATATAACATTTAGATGGATTCACTTTAGGACCATTTAGGTCAGACCATTTGTTAACTCCAGCTAAGAACATATTCATATAGGAACATTTCAAAGCAGAAACTACTGGGACAGAAATGGTTAGAGCATCGGCTTATTTAATGGAGTTAGCTTTGGAAGGATATGGAAGGTCGTGTAAAAAGGAAAAAGGAATGGACAGAGTATAGCTTCTTGAGGCACGCCAGTTTCCGTTAGCAAAGAAGTGGAGCTTTTTCCATTAAAAACAGTACGTTGCTTTCTACCCGACAAATAAGAAGACAGCCACCTTGTGACCCAGGACTCAGTGTTTGCTGAAATTAGCTTGCTTAGTAAAAGTGCCCTAGGAACAGAATCAAAGCTGCAGTGTAGTCTAAAAAGGAGGCTCGAAAAAACTTTGCGCCTTTATCAAGACTTGTGATGGAGTACAACGATAGCATCTTGTGTGCTTCTACTGCATTTGTAAGTAAACTGCTTTGGGTCATTAAAAGATTTCAAAGAAAGTTTAAAAGCATGCAAGAGAATTTTCTCCATATTTTTCAAAAATGGGGACATGATAGCGATTGGCCTAAACCTTAGACCTGATCCAGAAGATGCCTTTGTTAAAGGCACCATTTTTATTTCTTTCCATGCAACCAGTACTGTATCTCTGTGAAATGATGCATTAAAGATTTGCGTAAGAGGATAACACAAAATATCAGCATACTTTTGAAAGAAAACGCTCCGTATACCATCGGGACCCAGGTTGTGTGATGGACTTAAGGATTTGAGACATGACAATACACCCTTTTGATTAAAACCGGGGAAATGATTATTTACGTGACTCAAAACTTCAGGTTCAAACATATTTGCTTGTTGCATTATAAAAGATCGATTTAAGGCATTTACATCCGAATAAGCATCAACTGAAATTTGTTTTCTGCTTGTAAATTGATTAAAAAGTTTCTAGATGTTAGAAGCATTCTTACATGATAAAAAATTTTCATTATATATCCCATTGAGTCTTTGTATTTCAGAGAGTTTATCCTTCAGACACCAGCGTTATCATGTGATATACACAGATTCCTTTTTTCTCTTCTAAGCTCTTTTAGTTGTAGAGAAGAAATCCTATCGAATCTCCTGAACAGTGTTTCAGTAGGACAGCAAATATCCTAACAGAACTTGATATAGGTGGTGATATTAGAGATGGTAACGTCTGACACTTTATCAACGAGTAGGTCCCAGTCAGTACCGTGCAACATACATCTCAGTACTTGAATATTGTCATGTGAATAGGATCGTTCTTAGATTTTATTTGTTAAGTGAACTAAAGCCCTTCAATGTAACTCCCCATACACTTTCGGTAAAATACGCATAAAAGGCAATGGTCAGAATTCAGTAATGGAGTTGTCATTCGCACCTTGTATATGTCACGATTGTTTATGAAAACCAAGTAGAAATCATTGTCAATAGGCAGAGGTATCTATCCACTGTTCGTGTTCTCCTAGACTCATTATATCTTCATTATTTCCTATGTAATTTTCTCTTTATCCTGCACACTTCATTTTATTATAGTTTTTGTGCATATCTTTTTCTCTTCTATCTTTATATGCGCTTAATGAATTATAACAACCTCAACTGATGTACTTTTATGTGCCAAGTTCAGTTTATATATATAGTTTAAGCTTACCAGTACTAAAAAAGCATATTTTAATGAGTTAATCAGTAGTATCTTATGTATATATATATATATACTAGATCAGCATTCTTTGCGTAGAAATTGAAATACCCAAAATTTTAAGAAATGGATTATAAGTAGATTATAAAAATCTACTATCTATTTGTTCGAAAATTCACATAAAGTGTAATCATTGATCATTTTCATTTTAACTAAGTATGAGAGGTATCACGCTTAAACTTGTTATATCTGTCATTAGTTGAAGACTCATTATGTGTGTAGAAATAATACTTAATTGTTACCGTATTTATATGTACTTAGCTGAAATAAATACAACTTAGCTGTTCAAGCACTTTCAAATACTATACTATACGCAATCATTGCTTCACTCAGCTCCCGAGTCCTTATTTGTCAATTGTCCTTTTCACATATCATTAGATTCTGGCTTGTTTAATATCACAGCTTACTGTTTCCTCATTCAGAATGAGAAAAGTTCATTTTAAAACAAGTTACTGTAACAAGGACTAAAATGTTATTCATTTGAACATAGTTGTGTTATCTAAGCTGTTTGGTTTAATTGTGAAGCTTCCCTTGTCCTTGTGAACAACATTTTCAGTTTTCACTTCACATTAAAGCTAGGGGTCGGATAGACATTTTCTCTGACTTTTTTGTGTGCTGTTTCCATCATCCCACATGACATCTCTTTCACCTTATACTCTTTTTCATTATACATTTAGCTCTAATTAACTGTACACTCCGTCAGAGTATTATGCCTTCCATAATCCTCGTGTTTGTCTTAACAATTTGGGCACTTTTCAATCGATTTGTCTAGATTACTTAATTTAATCTGACCTACAGAATTTGTATGTCAATAAAAGCTAGTTACTGACAGACTT